CTTCTCGCCTCCTTTTTTTGATGATCTAGGGTTTTTTGTAGCAATCCACGAAAGCTGCGCTCTGTTTGGCCTTTTTTTCGATGGAGGTTGATGTGGTCACTCTCCGTTTAGATCCTACGGGGTTGATGCGACTTTTTGGAAGACATTTTATATAGATTCTACGCGCATAGGGAATACGCTGAACAGATCACAGATTTCATGAGCTTGAGCTCGGTCCGCAGTACTAGGGTTTATTAAGTATTCGCAATCTCAATATTGGCATTTAAAAGGGTCGTGAAGGTTAACCTGAGAAATTGCGAAGACATCAAGTCTTTACCCTAACAAGGAAAGGCTCCCAGGTCGCCATGGCCATTCAAGAAGAGATGTATACGACTAGATGTGCCTTTGAACGCTGATCTCAAATCTACCTTCCAAATCTGCTAAACGATTCTCTGAACAAGTTATGAAGCAAAACAGCGCAACGGTAGTGGTCGGGATCACAGTCAAGAACGTCGTAGGATCAATCGCTTGTTGTGTTTACTGTTTGCTTCCGGGATTACATCTAAATAACCCAATAACCTACAGCCATTTGAGATACAATCCCAAAAAAGCAAGGCAGTAAACACAAGAAAGATTTGATCCTGCCACGTCTTGACTGTGAGGCGCTATTGAGGTCAGCGTTCAAAGGCACATCTAGGCATATACATCTCTTCTTGATTGGTCCATGGCGAGCTTGAATTCATTCTTTCTAAGGCTATTTTTTGGAGCGTAGCAACCTTCCACATCTGCTGTTTTAAAGTTTGGTAAGAAGTAGTACATTAGACATGAAGCCGGTGGTCGAAAGCTTTCTTTGTAGCGTTCAAAGTTTTCTTTCTTTTTTGTTCAATCAGTTTGTCAAGCGTTTGTGCCATTGTCCTTTCTGCTCTTGGGCTAGAAGCCGGGAGATAAAAGTGCACTCACTGCAAGTTCCGTGAACCCGTGTAGTGAATTGGTTCCCCAATAACACTGGATGGAGTAGCATTGGAAACACGGTTCAGCTGTTTTTGAAGAATACGAATTTCTGAAAAATTTAGGTGGATCAGGTGGCAGTTTTCTATACGGGAGACTTGGTGACGTCACTACAGAAGACTTCATTGGTTCCTGGAGCGAATGAATGTGTGATTTACACAACAATTGGTGGAGCAATTGGGATACTGGTGCCATTTATCTCAAAAGATGTGAGTATTTACCAATTATTGTTCCGTAAGTTTTTCCTTACTTTTCTCAAAGACACATATAGCCTGTTTATGTCAGTAAGGCGTGTCGTAATTGCGGACTTAGTAGCACATATGACATCAGATAGTATTAGGAGTATACGAAAACGCACGTGATATTCCTGTGTCAAATCCGCCGCCGCCAGTGATACTTAACATAAGTTCACAAATGCAGCACGTTTTGCCGCGAGAAAGATATTTTATCTGATGGGAATTTAGCACAAAGAATGGTATTGTGTATGTCTTGTGTCTTATTGTTAGTGCAATAGTACGATATTTCCTAGTTTCGGCAAAGTTTTACTCGGGAAAATGACTTCTCTAACGATTTTGAGGATTGTTTCTGTAGCCGTTTGAATCTGAATTAAGTTATGAATAATTGGCTACTTCAATCTTTTATGTTTCCCATCTGAGACACAGAGAGCGACCAGTGCCGCTTCTGTGTTTGCATTTTTTATGAGCATTGTGAATGATTAGTGAAAGTTCATGTGAATATGTGGATATTTTATCGAGAAGGGCAGTGGGAGCAGACGCCGCGGACGGAAACGGTCAATGAGCACAGAGTAGAAAAATAGTTTTTAGGCGTCCGCGGAATACATTGATGAGCGGTGGCAAGTGTATGTTGGGGGCAGCGTATTTGCGTGGGTTGGGAAATATCATAAGACCTGCTCACCGAAACCGAGGATATAGAAAGAAGCGATTTAGGGTGTGGCAAAGAAGTATGAACTAAGCATTATCGGTGGAGAAGGAATTAGAAGGGATCATGTACATGATGTAGAGTAATTTCTCGATAAATTCGATGTTTACCTCAAGTTCATTCAGACTATCGCGAATTCGAGGAAATTGATTACTAGAAATAATAGAGCTTCCAGCTTTGCGGTTAACGGCCATGTTGGCGAACCGGCTCATCAGTTAGATTTGTTAGCTGTAGTAAATAGTATACCATGAAAAGCTGAGATAACGATACCCTTAGCGTCGCTTGTAGCGCACCTGCCCGATGAGTGAGAAGTGCGGGTTCGAGTCCCGCATGGGCGAATGTTTTGTTCATAACCCAGCATTGTTGTGAAAATGAGAAGAGTTTTTCTGAACTTCAATAACCTTCAATAACCGAAAAAAAACTATGGTAAGTACGCCTTTGTAGCTGTAGGAATGCATGTGAGGTGTCGCTAGCGTAATGAATAAATGTGGTGGCTGAGAACAAAGAGGTGTCATAGAGTACTCCCACGATAGCAGGATGTTCCTGTGGAGCTTATCATGTTGGACTATGGGTGCTAGGTAATCTGACGTGGAAGACCAAGCCAATGAACCTGTTGAATATCGCCTCGATTAAGGCTCTACACCTTCGTAGAAGCTCTGACAAGGGAGGTCGTTTAGGGCAAGCCGCGCTTTTTCAAAACGGTTTTTTGCATGTTATAGGAACTCATGCGTAGACTACAGAACCAAGTCCATTTTCGCTGAACGGCCCCGAGAAGGCCAAAAAGTGGTGAGGAAATGGTCCAAGGATCAATCCCTCTGATGACAAAATTTTTTGCATTTCATTGGAGCTTCCAAATTTTCCCAAAATAGCACCATCGCAAAATAAAAAGATATCCTTCGTTTGTGAGACATTGCTCAGCCTATGGTGCAAAAGGGCACGTGTCTGAACCTTGGATTGACGGCTATGGACAAGGGAGGATGGAGATCAGAGAGACGCAGATACAAGGGTGGGGTCAGTAACAAGGTAGATGTCGCGAATAGGACGGGCTTGCGCTTGATATGATACTCTGGCGCACACTTTCTGCGCGAAGCTATGTCATGTCATTATTTAAAGTTTGCTGTTTGTGGGAATAACTGGAATTTCAATTCGACACTGCCCACAACATTGCAAAGGGCAGCCAATTACTTGCCGTAGTGGTGAGCGCGAAGATGGCAACAGGCCTTAAATGGGCTGACACTAATCAGCGGCGAATGCGAAAATACACAGCGTTGGACTAATTGGTGTTGCCCTCGCTTATGAGAATGCTTAAAGAACCTTAGGGCAGGAATAGATAGTAAAGTTCGAGCCGTAAGAACTTAGAAAATGACAGATTCTGTAGATTTCGATTGGAAGAGGTTATTTCTGTTTGTCGTAGCTCTGAGAAACCTTGAAAAGAAGGTGCGCGTCATACTCAACGTAGTTCAGGAACTGCGACCTACATACGCATGCAAGGATTCTTGATGTACAGGCCAATTACCTTAATTCAGCAACTTCAGTTACACAATGTATACTCTCCAACTATTATAGATTTGAAGAGATTTGCTTTTGCCACGATGCGAGTGGTTGTATTAGCCTCTAAAGGGGTCGGACTAGTGCTCAGTCTCTGGCTGAATTGTTGATATGTCGGTGATGTCGTGGTGTGCTCACGTTGCCGAAGTTCATCAAATCTGGGAATACTACATATAGAAGGCTGGCTCTAAGTTCGTTTTAGTCAACCGGAAGCGGGTTCATAGATACTTTTATTTCGGTCTACTAATGCGTTCGATTTGAGTAAAGGGTCTGGGTGAAGGTTTGAGAGGGAGTAGCCGACTGTACGATTTCGAAGATTATTCGAACCTGGGCATCATGACTTTCGCTCTTGAAAGTGGCGAATGACCGGCTTCAGTGTCCTTAGTGCCGAGGACCTCTCGTCAACAAACAGGGGATTTTGAACTCTCAGCTCAGATTTGCTTCCTGTGATTATGGAAGTTTCAACCTAAAAATAGTCCTTGAAATGTAATGACCTTTGGGAATAGGAATCGCTAGTGATGAGATTTTGGTTGCTAAGCAACGGATTCTACGCTAAGTGAAGGTAAATAGACTTGATGCGTCAGAATCGCTTCTGAGCGTAGTTATTGTTGAAGAGATTAGAGAGTTCGTAATTGGTAGCAAGAAAGAGATGCTAGTGTAGTGAAAGCATAAACAAAATCATCGACTGAGCTGCACTATGGGTGCTAAGAAGATGAGAAACCTGTGAGATGCCGGGGATTGAAATTATTTCACTTGGCTCGGAATATGTACCCGTTGATTCCTGCCCCTTGGTGGGTCGTAAATGTGGACTTGACATTACAGGGCAGTGAAGGGAGGAGGGACGATGGAGAAGGGGAGGCCAGAAACCAATCACTAACAGGCCTGAGGTGCAGTAAGGTATTAATATGTCCTTCTACCGTCATGCCATGATTATGGCGATGCCTACTATATGAAACTCCTATTTGTTGCGTACGCGTTATCTCCACGAAGTGTAGATGTCACAGTTGGAAGGGGCCAGGTCCTGGCGTTGACTGGTAACATTCTGGTAAAAGTATGAAGCATCTGCCGTTGATCAATCCCTTTTTTGGGATGCGGCACGCATTCTACTTCCATTTGTACATTCGCAGTGGCTTTTGAATGCGATGTGGCCC